TGTGACCTTGTTAAATTGGAATAATTTCCCTGGTTTACCAAGAGCACCAGTTCTAATTGTGGTGCTCTAGTATTTCCAGTTCCTTCCAAAATGCTGTCATTTACAAATGTGATAATATCTAATTTATTCCTTCCAGTTATAACCTGCTTAGAGTTAGGCTGAGAAATACATGGTTTCTTGAGAGTTCCTTTTTCCATTTTCTTGAAAGCAGGTACTATATTTGTCCTTCTCTGGTTTTCTGGGACTTGACCTATCCTCCACAGGTTCTGAGAGATGATAACTAATAATTATGAAATTGCACCGGTTAATTCTTTAACCGCTTTAGGGGAGCAGGTCTTGCTGTCTACAATACATGTAACTTAACTAAATCTTCTCTAATTCTTTCCCTATTCTAGTTCACACTCCATTGCCCTGTTAAAACAAAATGATCAAGTTACAATTAACCTTTTCTGAGGAAAGACCCAAAGATAGCATTTCATGAGTGAGCATAATTGCCACTGCACCCTCTTGGCTCCCTTCCCCCTTCAAAGAAAATCCCACAAAGCTTTTGAGAGGGAGAATTATCAAGAAGTAAAGTAAGAAAATAGCAAAAGCTGTTATGGCAACTTGAACTCTTCCCTGTTTATCTCTTTGTGCTGTCTGCTAGACTTCCCTCTTTGTTCTAATTAATTGGCAAACTCCTGCTAAAGTCATTCATTTCTCAAAACTTATTTATTTTGCCTCACAACACTTATTTGCACAGCACTACTGTTGTGTACAAAGATTACTCTTTAATGGAGTTCAGAACACCCTTGAACAGCATGCAGTTCTGTTCAGTCCAAAGAATACAACGTACTGTATACTGAGTCTGTAACTTAAATTAATCTTATTTGGTTTTACTCTGCTTGATTACTCTTTATGTGCTTTCTTAAAGTCATGTGATTTTTACTTTTTATTTTGACTATTTTAATTACTTGCTTCCACAATATATTTACAAGGATATTCCGCAGCTCTTTTCAAAGCACTTTGCATTAACTAAAAGGAGTAGATTTGCTTTTGCAATAACAAAATTAAACGAATACAATCTTTTTAGATCTCAAGTATGTATTTAAATAAAAATTAGTCAAAACCTGTAACTCCATACTTTAAATTTGGGACATCAGATAAAATGTTGGCATTGTTCCAGCATGTTTGGATGTGAACATACCCCATATGAAGGTCTGTTTCAGAGGCTATCTGGGCTGCAGCCACACGAAGCACAGCAGGAAGATACATCTGTATATTCCTGGAGAACAAATACAGACAATTACTGGTGGTGCTGATCTGAACCTCCACCCAGGTTTGATCTTCAGAGCTGGCTTACAGGCATAACAGGAAATAAACCTACAGGACTTTAAGCATCACCTGCAGTAATACTGAATCTGTAACCTTGGCAGAGGCAGAGGACACCAGGACTGGGCCATTCAGACCCGGTGCACTGTTGGAGCAGCACCTAGCCCAGTCTGTCTGCGCCGGGGGGAAATAACACTAAAGTTAGCCCCGGGCTGGCTTCAGCAGCTTGCAGAGCCTCCAGCAGATCCTGGCATTCAGTCAAGGGCTCCAGTCAGCTGCTGTCAATGCCCAAAGCAGCCAGGATGAGCTGTGGTAACGTGTGAGCTCCCAGGGCAGCCCCAAGCCCAGAGCACAGCCTGGCACTGAGGATCTGCGCCAGGTGCTGCCCTGGGAGCTGCCCCAGCCCCTCAGCACAGCCTTGGACCTCCAGCTGACACAGAGCCAACACCAAGGAGACTGGAGGCACTGCAGCTGCTGGGAATGCTCTTGCTGGCCAAAGGAATGCACCTCCTGTACTCTGACTGTGCTGGTTATTTCCCCGAGGACAGCGAGTGTCTGCAGAGCCACGAGGGGGAAAGAGATGAAGCTGTGTTTTGGATCTTATCGTTGTTATTTAAGTGACCGGTTAAGCCCGAGTCTGTCAGTGATAGATAGAAATAACACCTGCCTGATCTGAAAACAGGAGCCTCAGTGACTTTACCATACACTGCAGATAAGCAATATCTTGCCTGGTCACAGATGCCCGTGTTAACACTGCTATTGCTGCCAGTGTCTAAGAGGGCAGCTGCCTCCATCTGCACATCCAACAGATGCACAGATGCCACTGGTACCTCTGCCTGCTAGATAAAGCCAGCCAGTAATATCAGCAGACCCCAAGCTAGCTTTATTTAACCAGCATGGGCACTGGTGACATGTGGGGGCATGCAGAGCTGCTCTCACACATACTGACGGTGACACTGTCAAGTGCTCAGTTAAGGGTGGGGATGGCTGTTGCCAAATATTTCACATGCTGAAAGAAAGCCAAGTTATTTATCTCATTTTATTTACAGTAATAGGGGACTGTTGAACAGCATGGAAGTGCACTACAATAAAATTGATAGAGAATATTGAAAGCAAAAAGAAGATCAGCCAATATAAGGAAACTACTAACTTGAATGGAAAGATCTAAGAGGAAGGCACATTCAACAGCTCAGGAAAACCATCCCACCAAAATAAAAGAGAATGACTCCCATGTTATTAGATAAATCCTCAGCCTTTCACTAAAAAAATATACCCTTGGCACGACTGCTTCTTTGAAGCCTCCAAAGAGAGTTTTTCCCAGCATATTTGAAAAATTTCCATAATCAAGGACCTGAAAATGCATAATCTCTGCTTGGTCTTATCTTGGGTGCTTAATTCCAGAAACTGATTTACCTGCAGGACTGGAACCAAAGGAGAGAATTTAACAACTCAAAAGTCAGTCTGTCTGTTCTAAGGTCAACATGAGTTTTGCTATTGGTCTTAAGATACTGGAAGAAATTTTTACCCCATGTAGAGGGATGCTGGATTACTTTCCTTTCAGATATAAGCAGTAGATGGCTGGTACTCTAAGCATGACTAAAAGGTTTCTCTGTGGTAAACATACTCAGATTTTGAGACAAAGTTTAATGGGCAAAGCTCAAGTCTAACTGGATAAGCTGTTTTCTGGATCACTGACCCAAGTAAGTCCAGTTTGTGAATGATCTCTGTGATAATGTACCAAAAAATTGTTTCGAAAAAACAAAGTTGTGTTTGCTGTCAAGGAGAATTTTGCTGCTTTAACTGGACTTCAAACGAGCTATCAAAGACAGTCACCCATTAGTGGAGGTTACAGCAAAAGCCACCACTGTGCTGAAAGCTGCAGCAGTGATTGCCTGAGCTCCTCAGGTTGTTTGTAAAGGCTGCATTAAACCGGCTCCCTCAGCTCTTCCTGCTGTCCATGCAGCACTGCTTTAGAGACAGCACCTGGCTTCTTTCTAACCAAAGACCACGTAAAATGGGGACAACAATATAAAGAAGAAAATTAGTGAGCAAGTTGAAATCTTTTGCCTGAAAGTGTATTTGATCCTGAACAATCCTTTTGTTTGAAGATATGACCCCCTTGAAAGTTGCTGTGCCTTTCTCAAAGGTAGAAATTTTGAACTATCATTGTTTGATAGTGGCTGGTTTTTAACTGTTCTTTCCTTCATTCTTTTCTGCCACAGAATGTCTTAAAATGAATGATGTGATAGTTCCATTCTTTACTTTTCAATTTTTCTATTTCACTATTATTAATTTGTCTTGTTCTGCTGCTGTTCAATTTTATTTTTCCCCCTCTGGTAAAGTTAAAGGATAGAATGAAATATTAAAAATAACTATGTCAATCTCTTGGCTGGTAACCAAAGGGTTACAAGTATTTTCAGTTGCACATTCCAGCTCCACAGATCCCAAATTATTGTCCAGGTAATTGTACTGAAAGTGGTTCACATTCCTATTCATAACTGCTAGGCCCCAAAAAACCCAGAGAGTAATGAAAAATACTGTGGTCATTTCTCATACTGAGAGTGGCCTCTGCAGTAGAGAATGAGAGGTAGGAGGGGGAAAGGTCCAATGAGGAAATAATAAAAATCAGCTTCAGAAAGTTTTTATTAAAGCTGTAAATTAATATTTGCATAGAAGAGAGAAAGTTTTAAAATATGAACACACAAACACACATGTGCATTTAACGGAATGCTTTGATTCCATATTGCAGTTCAGCTAAAAATCCTGTGCCACAGAAAGCAGTAATTATTTCAGCTTTGCATATTGTAAACCTGGTCACTGTCATTCTTTCTTTGCCTCCACATGCCTCAATGCCACATTTTCTACAATCGTGGGGAGATTGCCTTGGCTCTCACTCAGCTGGCTCAGCTAATGCAATTCACAGGCCTTCAGATGTAAGCTTGTAAACTATTTAGTTCTTTTTCTCTCTAACAGCTTGTCTATTAACAGCTCATTGAATGGAGGAGGGAGAAGAAGCTAGTGAGACCTCTCTTGGTATTGTTCAGCAGTGACCCCGGCTCTCTCGGATTGGTGGCCAGTGCTCACTAAACAGCGTTTGTCAGTACATGTTTTGCTGGATAATGGTGTATTGTGCGAGCAGCCTGTCTGGATTAGTAGCAGGTAACAATAAACTGGGAAAGTAAATCTCCTGTGTGATATGGAAAGGTCATAAGAACGATGTATAAAAATGCGAGGCAATGCTCGTTAGGATGGCCGGAGTACTGCAAGAAAATCTGCGCCGCTTTGGGACATCTTTGTCTGAATTCCTTCTGTGCTTTGTTCAGGACCCTCATCAGTGCCGTGCCATCCTCCGCCTTGGGATGGCTTGGGGGATGAGGGTGGTTCACTGCTGCAGGATTTCCAGGCCGTATGGCCACTGCTCATGGCCTGTACTTACTGCAGCTGGGTTTTGTCAGGATACCAGCATCATTAAATCCCGGGACAGGAGCACAGAGCCTGCCCACGCTGTGGCCCATGGCCATTATTGTGCAGCATGGTAGGAGGCTGTGGAACACATTGCAGTGAGAAATGTGCTGCTCCAGCTCTGCTGTCCCATTGTGGCCGTGCCAGGCTCCGCAATGAGCCTGCCACATCCTCCGCTTTCCTAATGGATCACACAAACCCGCTAGCATTTTATTACTGGTGCCTGAGCTCTCCTTAACTTTTCTTAGCGTTCTACATGGCATTACCAGGCGAGCTGGTGGCTCAGCTCTCAATAAAGAGAACCCTGCCCGGCACAGATTCCTGCCCCTCCAAAAACCCCGAGCCGCCCTCCTCACAGTCCGCTCTCTTACAGAAACACCGCCTTGCCGGCTTTGTTTTTCTGCCGTGCTGAGTGTTGCAGACCTCGTGTTATCTTCCAGGCAGACTGACAAGGCGGCAGCACGGAGCAATCGGCTTTCCAAGGAGTGATTTATGAGCCGCCAGCTCGGCCGTGAGCGCCTTGCGACTCCCCCGTGTGGCTCGCAGCCGCGGCCGGCCCAGCCCGGCCCTGCCCGGGAACACACAGCCCATCGCTCCGCAACCAGCGCTGACCCCGAGAGAACAATGCTGTTCTCCTGTGTTTCTGCTACAGGAAAAACAAAACGAAACTAAAGATGTCATATTTGACGAACTGCGACGCTATGGGAGGAATTACGAGGTATCATATTCTTTTGCTATGAATTAGTCTTAACAATTTAATTCTCGGTTTCCTTTTCCCCCATCTATGTGTCTTAATAGATGCTAAAATCTATTTAGATATCATTAGTTGTTTTAAAAGTGGCATTATAAATTTGTGTGGACTAACACAACGGTTCAAGGTTCTAAACGCATTTAGTTGTACTCCTCTTGAGGTCACTTATGATAAATATTCCCCCTTTTTGGCTTAGCTATGAAAACCTAGCTTTCAGTTCAAAATGGAATATTTTTACTCAAATCCACAAAAAAAAATAAATTACAGTTTCTACTACTATATTGTGTATGTTTTATATATATTTCCTTGGGCATGAGGAAGCAATTGTCTTCTTCCAAATTAAAGGGTTTGACTCTGCCCCGTGTTACACTGTCTCAATTACCTGTCAGCTGCATGAACAGGGGTTAGACTTACACCAGCATAGACAAAAGTAGAATTGGACTCAAAGTGTTTATCGTTTTCAGGAACTTGGCATCCTCTTCTCCCATTCATCTGAAATCAACAAAAAGAGATGCTGAAATTCTAAAATGTTTTAAACCCTCCAACACTAGCTGTGAGCAGGATGCACTATAACCACCAGACCTTGATGGCACGAAGATATGCATCGTGAACATGAAATCTGGGAAGAAAAGATAAGGGCACAGCCTTGCCACACTCCCACAGTAGCAAAACACTGTAGTAAGTAACAACTGCATTTTTGTGGTATTTGGTCACACCCCTCCTTGCACTGGCAAAACTTTGACTTGGAGCCGAGTAGGTGCAGTTCCAGGAAAGTGAATGCCCAGTGGAGTTGTGCCCAGCTGCAGTGGATCTGTACTCGATGACAATTGAAAAGATGAATGAAAATCATTTCGGTTGCATTAGGGATGTAAACTGTCAGGGATTTGGATTACTGCTTATTCAACTTTCTGGACGGCATCTTTACGCTTCCAAGAAATCCTTTTTAGGCCAGGCATCAAGAGGAGACAGGATGAACTCCAAGCAAGAAACTGGAGTTTGCAGACAAGTAGCTCATGCTCCTGACACTGGAGAATAAGGGAATGGAAAGCAAAAGTTGAGAAAACAAAGGATACTTTGTGGGTGTGCTGTACTGCCAAACCTCAGCGGCCTGGATACATTGCTGTTGTTTATCTATCTCCATCGGTGCTTATGGGTATGTATTGATCCGGATAACTCATGTCTGAGGGGTCACTGGGGCATCTGATTTTATTCTTTTCTTTGGGAGGTTTATTAATATTGACACTTCTTCATTTAATTGGGGCACTGACTATGGAATCCCTTTTTAATGGAATCATATTAGCTAATGTACTGCCTGTCCACACTCAAATTCAGAGTGCTTTACAAAAGCTTATATTGGAGTGACTGCTAGTGTTTTAAGCAAAAAAAACAAAAAACAAACCCAAACACCAAAAATGCAGATATCTGAAACCAGAGAGGAATAGCAAAGAGAGAACTATGCTGTAATCTGCAGTCTGCATTTCTCTGTTGCAACACAGGGAGCCAAAATAAAATAAGAGTTACTTTTCCTGTACTTCACAAGTGTTATTTCTTTCCTTGTTCTGTCAAGGCCGTTTCTTCCCCCCACCCTCCCACCAGGGGCTGCATTAGTTTCTGGAATGTAATTATTCACATCTGTACAGGCTCTTGTAAGACATTACCAACTAAAAAAGATAGCCAGAACATACAAGTTTGCACATCATCTTATTTCTGTGGTCAAAGAGAGTGTATCTCTGAGTGAATATGGGTATGGCAAATGTTGCTCTTTAACTTTCTCTTCTTTCCTTAAACAGATTGGGAGTCTGCTTCTACCATTTATAGAACAGATTTTTGTTTCTTGAAAGTGCTCTCCTGGGATTGACTAGGAAAGTGTTTTTTGCAGTCTGCTTGATTGGTCTTCATTGTGGAGCAATTTCAGGGGCCTGGCTTTGGACACCATTTGCAATGGGTTTACAGCAGAAGGTCATGTGTTGTTACAGAGTCATTACTGCCTCTCCCCTTGGGAGCACAGCACACCTGTGTCTGTACCCTTCACCAGTAGCTTCTGGCACATCTTTTTGACATCCTTGCAGGAGGGCAGGGACATATCACACTAACTTCCTTGGCAGAAATCAGCAGTGGACAGGAAGAGGGGAAAGGAAGAGCAGAAATTGCACCTTCAATGCATTTATTCATTCTCACCATTTTTGTCAATGTTTTAAATGATGTTTTGGTTGTAATGCACGAGGCTTTTAAAAGAGTAGGTGTCTCTTTATGATAGTGGCTTTGAGGAGTCCAGGAAGACAAGGGGGTGGAAGGTGACTTTACCAGAGACAAGATTACTCATAGTAACTGTGTCTGTAACATGTCTAGATCCAGCACACCACACCCCTGCTGCTCCTTACAGCAGCCTGAGTTCACACTGCCTGCAAACCCTGCCTGTCCTTGAGTCAACTTCACGGTGGGGAAAAACCTAACAGCTGCAGTTATCTCCCTGGCAAGCTGCACCACAGTGGAAAAACATCGAGCATGGAGCATAGAGCCTTCTCACTCAAAGCATTTTTTGCTTTTCTGCAACTGACGATCCCAAGACTTTCATTGAACCTAAATAGTGTTGAAACCCATAAACATTTCCAGCAATAATGGAAGTCTGTAGTCTCATTAGCTTCCACCTTAAATTCTGCCTAGACAGTAATTCCCACTGAGTCACAGACACGGTCACAGACAAGCAGGACAGAAAACTGGGTCTTTCATCTCATCCCTGAGCTCTAGTCATGAACATGCTTGCTCTGCTCACTGCCACACTGATGATAGATTTTTATCTTCTTCCTTTAACAGGAGAGGATTTGCGAATTAAACACACACTCACTGCCCTAGCAAGGTCGTACCACAGGACTCTGAAACACATCTGCTTTTGAAAGAGAAACTCGCTGCTGATCAGTCCAACTCTGCACACACACTTTTACAAACACAGCCATTTTGAGGCCATTTCGGGAGACAAAAGAACTGTTTGACTTCAAGGTTAATTCCAAGTTTTCAAGTAGGCATCTCAGCATGTGACCAAGTGTCTGTTCTGAGTGATTTAGCCTAGGGCTACCCTAAGGTGCTGGCTCTTTTTTTTTTTAGAACACAAGAAAATAAATGTATTGGTCTTCCAAAAAAGCCTTGTGCAAACCCTGTGGGACACTTCCCAGCCAGGACATCTTGGAGTACCTCTCAAGTCAGTGCTCATTCCTGTCATGCTGGTTGAGCTGTAGATGTGCAGCCCTGTAATCCTTGCAGCAATCTCTGACCCACTGCCTATGTCTTAGCCAGAGTTTGCATCACCCATTAACATTTTTCATACCTTTTACTTTACCTGCTTCTCTGAGTTAATTTATTTTTATGTCTTCATAAATCAAATATCACAGCTCATTGCTATGATTATATTGAAATAAAGCCCTCTCTTTTATCACAGCACTTTGCTTGCCCTCCACCTCTCGTTCTCAGCAGGTTCTCAGATGCCTTGTTAAGACCTTCAAAGCCTCACAGCATACTCTGAGAAGAATGCATCTGTCCTAAGGCTACGAAAAACTAATTCTGCAATAGTGTAATTTATGAAACTACAAATTCAGCATCCTTTTTTTCCTTTCCATGCAAAACTGAACAGGAACTAGGACTGCTGAATTAACCTGGAAGTTTACACGTCACATTAGTTATAATCTGAACTGTAGCTGCCTCTTCGTACTTCATGTTAAATTATCCTTGCAGGGCTAGATCCTCACCTGGTCTTTTCCCCACAGATTAACCATTCCAGCGAGGCTGGCTGTAAATCAAGGAAGATTCATCCCTTTCTTTCTAGACACAAAAAAGAAGTGTAACTTTGTGTATCTGACTTTTTTCTTTGATTTTTATTTCTCCAATCCTTTACACAGTCATTATAGATGTTAAGAAGCCTGTTTTGGAAATGATTAATGCTATTAATAATTTTCTAATTCAATAAAACCTCTCATCTTTGAACTCCTTGCAATATTTTTCTGCTTTCTTCAGCTTTTCACTAATTCAAACATATGACAAATGCAGCTCTTCATTTCAGTTTTCTATTATTTCTCATGTCTGATCAAATAAATTAACAGACTTTCATTTCTTTCCCAGGAGTCATGCCTGTATGTTGATGAAGGCAGCATAAAAATATTACTTGTTCAAACAGGAGGGGTGAAAAGAAGGATAGAAATTATCTTTTATTCACTGTTCCAAGCAAACCAGGGCTGCTGGTTCCATTCCTCTAATCCTGACATCTTTGCTAACTATAAATATTGCAAGATTTGCAGAGCACCCATTGGTGTGGTTTAGGTGCACTGGGTTACAGTGTCCCCTCTCAATCCCTTCAGTACAGTAACAGTGATTTTAATCACACCACGGTACTTCAGTCACTGGGAAGAATCAGCTGTCCTGTCTCATGTGGCCGCTCCAGCCCAGCAGAGAGGCGTCCTGCTAATGCAGTTTGCTGTGTTTGGGTAGTTAAAGATCCGTCTGCAGGTCAATTTGTACCTGTGTATTGTTGATAGACAGCGTGCCTCGGGCACAGAGATACTGCATGCAGGAAATGGATTCTCATTTAAGCGTGTTTAATTTTGTTCTCTGCATCTCCATCATCCATCTTTCCATTTCTCTGCCCACCCAGATTGCTAATGCGAAACAAAGCTACTTCTGCCACCACAGCTCCTAAAGTGATGTGTGACGATGCAATGATTGATTTCCCACTCCAGGAAAAGTGGGTCATTGTACATGTTGTACCACAGCAGGCTGAACCAAGCTGGTCGTGCTGACATTGGGCTTTTACAGATTTGTTTTAAGAAGTTCAGACCTGAGGCAACTACTGTGAATATCCAGCCCGAACACCTCTGGTTTTTGATGGGAGCACTGCCATTCTAAAATCTTCCTTAGCAGCTTAGAGAGATCTGAAGTCATCTGTGCTCCTCAGGAGACAGTACTCTGATTATGCATTTTATATCTTACTTTCATGTTTGCGCCAAGAATGGAAAATGCAAAATTCCTCCAATTCCAAGATATGGGTCCAGATTCAGGTTTGTCATTTTCCAGGAGAGAAAACCCTAAACTAATTTAAAAATATGTTTTAAATATAAAATAGTGCAATTAACAGCTTTTGCAAAGGATTTTGAATTAGTGAGAAAAATACTAATTCAAACTGCTCTTTGAAAAAAAACCCGCTGCTTTCACTCTTCTTTTGTGATATTGCAATATTGTGTAATAACTTCTCTCATGTAATGAGACCTGTTGAAACCCACTTTTAGATTGAAACAGTTTAAGATTGCCTCTTATGAGAGCAGGGAGACATCATTTGAGGAGGCGAGTCTCAGTATTGGTGTAGAACCTGCCTCCCTATCTGCTGAAACAGACCAGCAAATCAGGAATCAGTTGCTGAAAGGGGAATATTTTGCAGGTTTTTCTGAGCAGCCCAATAGGTAACTGAGACATTTTATTCATGGCAGAATACAAAAGGTCAAGGCAGGTGGGGATTTGGTTTTGATTTTCATAGGAACAAAAAACACCAGGAAAATTTAGCTATTAAAATTGTATCTTTGTTTTTATGAGTGTTGTAACCAACCTTCAAACGCCACCTGTTCTGGGAAATGATTTAATGAACAGGTTGGATGAGACCTTTCTTCAGGGCCTATAAATTTTTGCTTTTCTTGAGATAAATTCTTACACGAGTACCTTCTCTAATTTTTTCACACCCCAGTGGGGGGTGTCCTCAAGGGCAGAAAACATCTAATCAGGTCCTTAAATCCTTACACTTGAAAAATTCCTACTGGGATGAACAGTTTTGGCCGATAAGGACTGCACTTCTAACTTCCAAACGTGATTTTTGGCAGTCATGACCTGCTATGTGGAGAGAAAGCCAAAGGAAAGCTTACAAATGCCTCCTGATGAGGGGCCCTTTGGATGCAGCATAATCCACTGCCTCGGCTTCTTGTGCAAACCTGGATGGACACAGAACCACTTGCAGACAGTGCTGAGTACCTGAGGGCACTGCTCTAGTGACCCCTAAACTGAGGAAGGGGGAGAGAAAGTCACTGCCATTCCACAAATGACTTCTGAATTTTCCTACTCTGTTCCTCCTCCTGCCGACCATCTCCTCTCCTCTGGAACACCACAAAATGTGGAAGGTTTGCAGGTAAGCAAAGAGCAGCATAGCAAATGACAGAGCCAGAGCTGAGCACTATTATCCACTGATAAACCTGGCCAAACCCTTTCCTTTCTGAAATAGAATGCCTGGAATGGATGTAATTAACAAAGAAACAGACAAAAACTACCTCTGAATGAAATTTAAGCATCAGCAGACCACAGCACAGCCAGGAAATACAAAGTACAAGCAACCATCCCTTCATCCTGAATTCACACCATTTTCTGCTTCTGTTTCCTGTGCAAAATTATCACTCATTCAGAAACTGCTGCCGGGTGGGGGGAGAGGGAGGGTTGTGGATGCAGAGCAGCTTGGGACAGCCTTCATCTGACTTTGCAGAAACACCAATTATCTCATTTTGAGGTGGC